TTCTCACTTCCAACATTAACTTAGAATTCCAAAGTGAGGAACTCTACAACTGGCATCAGCAGCCATCAAAATGAGCCCAAACTATATAGTTAGACAGGGTTCATAGCCACATTTTAGTTAAAAAAATAAGCACCTATAAGCACTTTTCAAGCACATTTTAAGAAAAAAATAAGCACCTGTCTAATTACATTATACACAACTGCATAACCTTAAAAATTAGACTCGTAATTTAAAATATGAGAAATGCAGTATTTATTAAGAGAGAATAAGCATTACCTCAACCATGGAAAATAATTACTTTTTTTTTTAAATTTTAAATAACAGTTCAATTTACAGAACTAGTTTACAATGAGAGAAAAAAAAAAAAAACTATGCAGAACTAAACTATATCACAAGATTTAATGATGAAATTTCAGTTCAAAATAGAGGAAATAAATAATAATAAGGCATATTTATTCAATTCGTTTGGAACTTAATAATAAATACAATTTATTTTTCCACTTATATTGATATTTAACTAATTTAAATCTAAATTTTCATTGTATATCAGTTTTCCCTTAACAGATATAGCAAGCAAAGTAATTTAAGCAAAAAAGAGAAACATTTCTGAAATCAGAAGACAGAAATTTGCTTCATGCAGTCATCCTTTAACAGTAAACTTTAACTACCCGCATACTTAAAAATTGGCAAATATTCGGACAGTCGAGCATAACTTGAAAAAGAGGAGCGGAGGGGGGGATAGACTGTAGCCGTTCTTTAGATTTTTTCCACTAAATAAATACTTTTGACATTTCGGTATGTGCATCATATAAAAAAAAAAACCAACGGAACAGAAAAATATTCTGCTTAGCAAGCACAGTAAAACTCTTTTAAGTGTTCATAAACAAATCTCGGACCGAACATCAAAATTAATTATCTCTGCAAAATATCGCAAACGTTATTGCGCAATACGTGCAACTGTAATTCTTCCCTACATGATATTACGCAATCGGATTCAACAGCTGCCGTTATTGGAAGAATAAAGAACTAAATAAAGGAAAAGCCCCTTTGCTCCGTCAACACCCATGTGGCAGAGACTTCACCTGCCAATCTGGGGGGGGGGGGTCATTCTAATTTTCAACAGACTGCATTAAATTTCCGGAATAGAATCATTCTTTTCTTGAGTTGGCAGACCGCAGAACTTTTAGTCCTATTCAATCCAGATTGGAAAATGGCAAACAAACAACAACAACAAAAAAGTCCGTTGCTTGTTTTGCAGTGAACTGTAACAGTTTCAATATTTGAGATTTTGCGGATAAAGGGGAGAACCTTTCAACCTTCGTACTGTATAATGTATTGGCCCCAAAAATGAAATTATTTTGACTATTCGATTACTTTCCCTTTATTTAAGCCATTCCGAATATTATTAATTAGAAAGCTAATCTGTGTTAAAACACACCCATTTTTGGAAGATTACTATACTTCAGCAGTTACTGCAACTATGTTATTATAAACATTCATACATATGCTCATAATATAAGCATAAGATCATAATAAACATGAATATGAACTGACCAAGCGGAACGAGAATGCAAATTATCAAGATCTTGATAGAAATTCAAATGTGTGTAGTATTTGGGTGGGAGGAAAAGAATGCCGAATGTACTGGAATTTTCTACTGCTTTTGCAATTCTTTGACCAACAGAACGACGGGCACCTGACTGTACTCTCCGTGCACACCAAAGGTTATGTTAATACAGAGAAAGGGGGAAAAGCTCTTTCCAAGAGTATGATTCACCATCTGATATTCCATATTATGAAGAAAAGTTTATTTAGTTTCGGCTATGGTACGGGGGAAAATTGTGCGTTTATTTAAAAAAAAGCACTAAGAGCAAAAAATAAGCACTAAAAAACAAAAAAATAAGGGCTTTAAAGAAAAAGTAAGCACCTATGAAGGCTTTTATATTTTATTTTCAAATATAAGGATTCATAAGCACTTACAAGGACCGCTACAAACCCTGTTAGAGGTGAAGCATTCAACAAACCGGAATAAATTTTTCTCCAAAAAAATTCAGTAAATGACAGATTTGTAATACCAATATAGGAGCTCGTAATGTTATTAACACGTATATGTTATACCTTGGTACACGTACCTTGGTTTAATGTAATCCGATTAATTCTCGATGGAACAGTTTAATTTTGTAAAGCAGGATTAAGCTTATTTTTTTCCTTACATTTTTTGGGGCAGAGGGGCAGAGAAAAAAAAAAAAAGATTAATATTTGGGACTGCATGAAGTGAAGTATTTTCAAAATTACAGGATACACCAAATTACGATATAACCCCCCTACTATATGCAACTCATAAAATAAGAGATTAACAAGAGGGATATAAAGTTCCCCCCCATCCCGTATCCCTTATTTGCATCTCTTTATTATCTAACTAAAGAAAAATGAGTTCCTTTAAACTTCTACTATAATGACTGGCAACATCTCCACTAACTTTCGTGTTTGGCAGGATTTCAAAATAATCGAAATACATTGGCTTTTATAACTGAAATGCCCTCCCCCCCAGAAATCTCATATAATTATAATTGTAAGCTTTTGATATTCAAGTTAGTAGCAAATAAGACTGGAATTTTCTACTGCTTTTGCAATTCTTTGACCAACAGAACGACGGTCTGTTGGTCAAAGACCATCTTATAACTTTGGAACTGATGATATTCTCACTTATTTGATTTTCTAGCATGAATTCCAATTTTTATATCATACTTGTCAACCTATGACACTCAAAAATCAGGAGATTTTTTTTAAGAAATCGGGAGATTTTTCACAGTGTTAAAAAGACTTTTTAAATGATGAAAATGTAGTTTTTAATAATGAATAAACTTTAAATAGTAACTAATTCTTAAATGCAAGCAACACAAAAATACTTTACACATAAAAAACATTTTTATTACTTGCATTGTTTAAGAAAACGAAAAACAAAACAAAAAAAAAAAAAACTTTAATCAGTTTTCGTAGAAATTTTATAAAAAGTCGCAGATTTTGCTTTCTTTAAGAAAGAAACTTCACAATTTTGTTCATAGCAATTGCCACGTAGGCCTGCTTTCGCTAATAAAAGTTTTTCTAATGTGTCATCATTAATTTTAGATCTAAATTTAGTCCTCGTTTTCGCAACAACACTGAAAAATCCTCTCACACTATACATTACTATGGGGAACTGTCAAGATGGCCAACATAATTCTAGACAGTTCACTATATTTTAAAATTCCATCAGCATCTTTCAGTTTTCCAATTAAACTCCACTGGGTGTCAAACCTAGCTGATTTTATAACTTCATCCAAGTTTTCTAATTGTAAACTGCTGTTATGAAGCTGTTGGAAATGTTTCAATTTTTCCTTCCTTTTAGAACTCCTTTCAAGATAATAATAAATATCAACAATGTGTTCATCCACACTTATTGCTAAAGAAGCTGCCACTTTTTCGACTGCTAAATTAAACAGGTGACAGGTGCACTTTGTAATATGCAAATCTGAATTTTCCTTTCTTAAGATGCTTGCAATACCAGTCTTCAAGCCTACCAATACTGGTGCATTATCGGCACCAAGTGCTAAGCAATTATCCAGAGGGACTACATTTTCTTTTAAAGTTTTAATAATTAGCTGTGCTATAGTAAAGCCTGTCAAATGTCCTTCTAAAGTGGGGCCAGAAAGTAAACTGCACTCATTTTCTGAAGACTCTGCATTAAAAAAAGAAACAACAATTGGATACAGTTTTGAATCAGTATTATTGCTTCCATCTGTAGAGAGGCAGAACGGAGCTGTTTTAATGCAATCAATAACTGAAGATTTATTTTTCAAATCCATTTCTTTAACAATTGAACCTGTTTTGGTTCTTGCACTTGAGTATTTCTTAGCGATTTCACTATCGGGAAACATTTTTTAAAATAAAGCTGCAGCATGATCTGATGCATTCAGTGGCAGGTTGTGCTCCAGTAAAAAGGCAGAGAACAGACATTCTGCATTAATAACTTTTTGATCCTTTGTTTCTGAAGAAAAATTTAATTTTTTGTTTTTTTCAAAACAACTCATGTTGTCCTTGTGTTTTTGTGTATGCACATGTTTGAGAACATCCGCCCTTATAACCATGTGAAATCGAAAAATTGCAAGGACAGGCGGAACACATCGCAAATTTATTACATTTCCTTGAAGAAATAATGGAAGGAAAGTCAACTGTGTACGATTTTTGAAACGTACAAGAGTATTTCACCTTTCTCGCAGACATAACAAAAGATGATAATTTCTAAAACTATTTTCCGAAGGCACGTGCACTCGCACAACTCAGGACAAAATGACCGAAATAACTAAAGAACATCCATATAACAGCTTGCTTTGTCCTCATTGGTTAATATATGCCAGGTCACACGCATATTAACCAATGAGGACGCTCATAACATATATTAACCATGTAACACGCTCCACTGTGTGCCAGACGATGCCCATTGGAGAACTGGAGAACGACGTTTCTGGATACGTATATGCTCACACTCACAAAGCAGAAGTTATCTAATTCGCAAGTTTTTGTTTTAGATATAATCTAGAGAAAATTCAGTTGCTTTCAGACATCCAAAAGCACTTTTTTTTTTTTGTTCATATAGCAAAGTATTAAGCCAAGTTCCATAAAAATCGTGAGAAATTTTAAGAATAAGAAAAAGTCAGGAGAAATATATTGTAAATCGGGTTGGCGGGAGAGCGGTCGAAAATCGGGAGTCTCCCGCCTAAATCCGGAGAGTTGGCAACTATGTTATATGCTCAACTATATGGAATTTTAAAGTATCCAGAATTCGGCATTTTCTGAGCTTTCTGGATAGTCGAGTTTTTACTGCATGTAATACTAATAGCTTAATATCTTATTAATTAAAAATATTAGCCTAGAAAATTAAGACCTTTTACATAAGTAATAACCATGCAATATACATAGAAAATTTATCATTTTTTGATACGCAAATTCTTTTTACTTGCCTGCATTTGTAATTGGGTCGCAGACGACAAGGAAGAGCCGCTTCTCCACGAATTAAGAAGTTACCAACTTCTTTAGGATAACAACACTTTTCAGTGCATTCTTTTTCATCGTAACCACAATCGCACTCTTCTCCATCCTCAACAATCTTATTACCGCAGAAAGCCCCATCGTCCTCTAAAATTACAAACATTAAAATTTAATGATGATAATCCTTTTGATTTTCTATGGGAAAACAGAAATTTCATTTACTACACATTAATACTAAAACAAATAAGGATACATTACATTTTATGATATAATGGGTATAATAATTAATACAGTCAAAGTTTGAATTCTTCAGTTTACTGAACGGAAAATTATTCCTTGCATTTTTCAGAAACATTCTCCCACAGAAATCTCAAAGCATTTTTTCCGAAATTTTCACTAAACCACATGTCCCATTCTTGCCTTAGAACAAATAATTAGCAGCTGAATCTCTACTCCTTTTCCCTGAAAACACTTGGTAAAGCCCAGAAGCTTGAGGCTTATCTACCTATAATTTCCATGTTTTTACATCATGGTGTAATTCTTTGCTCATCTCAGAAATAACACATCCAAAGTTGGTCACGAGATTCCACATGTAAAATTTTCTGACCTTCAAATTTCAGTATAATGATGTTCTATCCTGGTAGAGCCATATTTTTCTTCTCTAGTTTTGCAATAAAATTGACTCACTTAGTAATCTCTTCTATTCAAAATTAGCATAATTTCTAATTACAGACATTAAGTAAGAAATATTTTATCAATAATTTCTTTTGGGCGGACTTATATTAATTATCACTAACTTACTTCATAATTTCCTTGGAATTGACTTAAATTATATTACAAAAGCAGTAATTCTCTAAAGCAAATGTAAAACCATTATTAACATATTGCAAACCTTTACAGTGTTTGCAATAAGTAACAAATAAGCACTTACTTTCAAAACAATTTTCTTTGCCTTCATTACTGAATACAGCACGTAACACAGCACTAATATTGTGAATACTACATTCTGAAAATTTGTTATTATGTGGTCTGTCACCAGATGTGGCACTAGCATACATAATATAATTTCCTTTGGCACCACCAGGTCTACATTCTTTTGGATAATCATGCTATAAAGAAATTAAAAATAATAGTACAATAAATTTGCATTCATTGTAAATTGGCATTATTTCCTAAAAAATTAATAATAACACTTTCACAGTTAACATCTTAAACAAAAAACAGCACATATTTGTGAATTTTACATATCACAATTTTGTAACAATCATGATTCTTACAAAACATGAACTAATCAACTTCCCTTCTCTAAATTTCTCAGTCCTAGCTCCTATACAAATAGCATTTTACTTTCAAGAAACCAAATGATTAATTTCTATTAATTAATCAATACAAGATGACACAGCAGTATATAGTTTTCAAAAAATAGACCAGATGTGTATAAATATATATATAAACTTGAAATTTAATAATTAGCAAAAGTCAATCATAATTGGTAAATAAAAAAAAAGCTGCAACACATTTCAATATATAAGAAGACAAATTTATTTTACCTCTGTAATACTTAACTGCCATATACAAACAAAATTAAAGATCCATTGCATTATATGTTTTATATGATGTGCATTAATTAATTAAAATCCAATTTAAATATTTCTGTGTTGTATAATGATAACACATGTATACTTTCATTCTTCAGTAACTTTTGACAGTGAAAATTAAGTTACTATCAAAAAACAGATATTAATTTTGGCTGGTCAAAGGATACAACCTGGAGAATGTGACAAACTTTGCAAATATTAGCAAAGTTTGTCACATTAAAATTACAAATGTTACAGTTCTACACAAGTATAAAGATTGATTAAGTCAAATCTGAAAGAAATAAAAGGAAAATGGCACATGGATTTCTGAAAAGTTTCTTGTTGATTAAAGAAAAGATTTTAATCAAGACAGGAACTTCTCCAGTCTGTTAATAATGGACTTCACATATAAATTTTTAAGCAGAATTTCCAGCATTACAAATGGATATCAGGAGTTATACAGCAAAATTTAATTATACTTTGCTCCATTTACTATTTATATTTTGCTTATTTTGTTTGAGTTAATATAGCAAAAACTAATGCTAACATTAACTCACAAAAAGCTTGGAGTAAAACTGAGACTTCAGATCAGTGGTAAGTTTTCATAACCACCAATAATATGACAAGTACTTTTATCAGATCTGATAGAATTATTCTTATTTTACAAATCATACACTCATTTCTAACCAGTGTAAGGAAGGCAAAATAAGAAAAAAAATTATGAAATTAAAACATTTACAGAGAAATTTTACATAAATTTGTGATACCCTTTGTTGCATTTCAATAAGGTAACTTATCCACTTCATGACAGTAATGTTTCTAGTGTTTGTAAAGGTAAAACCCTCGTAATAGAAAGTGCCTGACAGAACCTTGGGATATGCGTATCGGCTAACTAAACTGTGAAAGTTAAATTCAACTGAGAATACATAGGACTGACTTGAATACATAAGAAAATCAAAATACAGCACCTCAGAAATCTTAACAAACTGTGAATGACAGATCCGAGTTGTTCATTAAATTTTAATGAATCTTGCTGAATTTCTTCCATCAAGAATTAATGCTGCGATTTCTGTACATGCAATGTAACTAAATATTAAAGCTACATTAACAGAAAAGTGTAAGTTTTTGGTCTGATGTCTGTGCTTCCTTTAATAAAAATTATCTGTTAAACAGATCAAATAATCAATTGGAAAATTCACCAAATTCAGAAAATTGTACAAATTTAAGAATTTAAGATTTTTGTCAAATAATTTCTTGTCCATTAGAAAGTAAGAAATACAATATGTTTTTGTGAAGACACAGAGATAGCCAAATGTATTTTTTTTTTTAACTCTTTTAAAAAAATCTGGTGATGAGACCACATGACATCCTTGTATGGAATATTAAATTATATGAATTTTATTTAAACTTATTTTATTAAATTTCATTAGAGATAGATTTCTCATTCAATTAATTCAGTTCTCACTTTGCGGCAAGGCAAAAATACATACAACTTCAAAATATCTTCATTAAAAATTGAAAGAGATAGCAAAATATAAAACACCAAAAACAATTTAAAAAATTGTTAAATTAAAATTAGAGTTTCTATTTAAGGGGGGGAACAAGCAAGCAATTCAGCCAGCACGCAAGAAGAGAGATTTTTTGATGCACAAAACTAAAACTTTTCTTTTGGTCGCATTCGGCAAAAAGACATTGAAAGTACACGAACTGACTTATTCACTATGCTGCTCAGTTTCAAATGTAAACAAATATGGCTGCTATGGTAAAAAAAAAAAAAAAAAATTAGGCTTAAGGAAAAGCTGCACATACACATGTTTTAAATTGTTGATAATTCCACAATTATTGCATGCAGATTAACTAAAGGCATAAAACCTTAACCAGAGGATAAAAACAACATAATTCAATCATTTTTAAAGCAAAACATGCAGCATTTACCAACATATAAGAGCTCACTAAGCAGACTAACAGTGTGGATATGTATATATATACTTTTGGTGCGGCCGATTGCAACCAAAAAGGGAGGTGCGCAACTACATGTTATAGCAGTTCTATATACAAATTTGCAATGTTCTGAGGCATTTTTGAATTACATGAGATATGTACATATGTACAAACAGATGCCACGAGAACATCTTTTCTGAATCCATTTTAAATAGGATTTATAATTTTTTTGGGAGAAAAGAAGCCTTCATTCTGTCTGTACGAACAGATGTTACACAAAAATATTGTTAAATTGCATTTGCAGGGTTCATAGCCACATTTTAGTTAAAAAAATAAGCACCTATAAGCACTTTTCAAGCACATTTTAAGGAAAAAATAAGCACCTGTCTAATTACATTATATACAACTGCATGACCTTAAAAGAAAAATTAAGACTTGTAATTTAAAATATAAGCAATGCAATATTTATTAAGAAAATGAGCATTACTTCAACCATGGAAAACAATTTTTTTTTAATTTTATTTTTATTTTTATTTTTTTTTTTTTTTTTTATTTTATTTTAAATGACAGTTCAATTTACAGAATTAGTTTACAATGAGAAGGAAAAAAAACTATGCAGAACTAAACTATATTACAAGATTTAATGATGAAATTTCAGTTCAAAATACAGAAAATAAATAATAATAAGCCATTATAATTGTATTCGTTTGGCACCTAATAAAAAATACAATTTATTTTTCCACTCATATTAATATTTAAATAATTTAACTTAAATCAAAATTCTGAACAATTTCTAAATTTTCATTGCATAACGGTTTTCCCTTAACATATATTCCAAGCAAAGTAATTTAAGTAAAAAAGAGGCACATTTCTGAAATCAGAAGACGGGATCATTCAGTCTCCTTTAACAATAAAAGCTTAACTAACCCGCATACTCGGAAATTGCCAAATATTCTGGATAGTAACTGGAAAAAGAGGAGTGGGGGAGATAGTAGCCGTTCTTAAGATTTCTCGGCTAAATAAATGATTTTGACATTTCGATATGTGCATCATGTAAAAACAGACCAACGGAACTGAGAAATATTCTTCTTAAAAGGCACAGAAAAACTCTTTTAAGTGTTCATAAACAAATCTCAGACTGAACATCAAAATTAATTATCTCTGCAAAATACCGCAATACGTGTGGCATAATTCTTCAACATGTGATATTACGCAATTGGAATCAACAGCTGCCGGTATTCGGAGAATAAAGAACTAAATAAAGGAAAAGAAAGAGAATTTTGGGTGTTTCTGATTCTAAGTTTCAACAGAATGCGTTAAATTTCCGGAATAGAATCAATCTTCGCTTAGGTTGGGTAGACCGCAAAAACTTTTAGTCCTATTCAATCCAGATTGGACAGTGGGGGGGGGGGGAGAGAAATTATTTTGACTATTCGATTACTTTCCTTTTATTTAAGCCACTCTGAATATTATTCCCTAGAAAGCTAATCTGTGTAAAAATACACCCATTTTTGGAAGTTTATCTATACTTCAGCAGTTACTGCAACTATATTATTATAAATATTCATGCATATACTCATAATATAAGCATAACGATCATAATAAACACAAATATGAACTGACCACGCGGAACGAGAATGCAAATTATTAAAATCTTGATAGAAATTCAAACGTGTGTAGTATTTGGGTGGGAATAAAAGAATACCGAATGTAAAAGAATTTTCTACCATTTTCGCAATTCTTTGACCAATAGAACGACGTGCACCTGTCTGTACTCTCGCGCGCACCATAGGTTACGGTAATGCAGAGAAAGGGGGGAAAAGCAATTTCCGGGAGTAGGATTCACCATCTGACGTTGCATATTAGGAAGAAAAGTTGTTTATTTAGTTTCGGGTTTGGTACTGGAAAAAAATGCACGTTCATTAAAAAAAAGCACTAAAAGCAAAAAATAAGTACTAAAAATAAAAAAAATAAGGGCTTTAAAGAAAAAGTAAGCACCCATAAGGGCCTTTATATTTTATTTTCAAATATAAGGACTTGCTTATGAGCACTTGTAAGGACCACTACGAACCCTGATTTGATAGCAGTCAAAATGGATATTTTCGTTGAAATACGATACCCGGAATTTTTTGCGATTACAATTCTTCCTTTACTTTGTACAAGGTGTGGTGTATTTAATTATGGCAAAGCACGCTAGGGCTATCTGCCTAACGGGAGATATGCCTTTGGAGGACTTTCTAAAGGAAACTGGCTCGTATACACGTTACACATGGAAAAAACCACGAAAACACCCATGCAGCCAGCCCGTTCGCGGGGTTCGAACCTCGGACCGAACTCCCAGTGTTCAGCGACTTTACCGCTCGGCCGCTGTACTTCGTACAAGGAAGTAAAAAACTGTGCATTAAGTAAATTTATATTATATATCCTCAGAAAAATATTTTTCGATGCACTTTTTTAATAAAAAAATTAATTTCTTTTAACATTTTGCAAAGCAGCACTAAATAAAAGAAATTCTTAACTAAAAAGAAAATTGCACAGATCAAATGCTATTGTATCTATCTACACATGGAATTAATGTTTAACACGTTCGCTGCCAAAGTTATCTCGTAGGTCCCAACCAAAAGTTATCTCGTAGGTCACTCGGCAGCGAACGTGTTAAGTCTAAAACATGAAGAATCAAATAATGCAATAGAATAAAAGAACATATAATTAACATCTTTTAGAATCACTGATCTATAAAAAGTATGACTGAAATAATGCACTTGATAGCAAAGAAAAGTCCATCTTTGTTAAAGTAGGTTTTCATTTAAAGAAAAATAGCTTTGCAGCCAGGAAGCTTTAATTCAATATAAAAATTTAAATTATTTTATGCTTGTATGACTTACTGCAAATGTCTGACAATATATTATAATTAAAATTCTTTAATAAAAAAACATACCAGAACTTTAAAAATTTTATTTATACTCACAGGAGAACCAAAATTATGACCAATCTCATGAGCAAGAGTTAATTCTGAAACTTTTGGAGGAACACGACTATTGTAATTTACAAAGGTGATGACGCCAGTGTTCAAACTTCGTTTTGTCTGAACTTGTCTTCCAGCAATGTTTTCTGTGTAAGATTTATACTTCTCACATATACCTCCGGATGCACCTAAAATAATAAAACACTATCAGAAAAAGAAAGAAATTATATTTAAATATCTCGCAGCTGCCAATCAACCTTGAATAATATAACTACAAAAGGATTATAAAAATTGATAGATATGCCTTTGGAAGAAAAGAAAAAAAAAAAGACCCCTTTTTTAATGATTGAAAGGATTAATTTCAACACTTTCACAAGTCATTTGACAATGCTCAGCTTGTATATTACACAAGCATCATTTTGATACAAACTAAACTGAATTAAATCTTAAAATAACAAATATTAAGTAATTTCATTGGATTTTCTAATTGCATTCTGATGTAAATAAGACAAGATAAGAAAAAATTCCACATATCTCTGTAAAAAATTTAAACAAATTAGATAGATAGATTAATCAACAGAATTATGCCAAAAATCACTTTTGGGGCTGGGGAAGGAGAATTTACACACTTTAAATTTCACTAATATATGACAATGTCATTACCTTATTTAATTTGTCATAAAAATTTCTTCACAGCATTTCCTTTTCAAACTTCAAAACAAACCCCCCTCCCAAAAAAAAAAAAAAAAAAAAAAATTGTAAGAAATTATCTAAATTCAGATAAATTAATAACCAGGAGATTTGAAGATTTGGGGGTAAACTGGGAGATGAGATGGAAAATTGAAAATCTTCTGATTTTATTGGGAGAGAGCTCTTCTATATGCAAGATAATTTAACACTTTTCTGTTAACGAGAAGGTAATCACAAAATGTCTACCAAAGAGTCAAATGTGGTAGCTCGTTTATATCGTGTCATGAATAGATGTGCAATTTCACATTGTGACTACACATAATAAACATCATATATATTAAATTATTTGATATATTACTGTTATTACTAGATTCCGCCCCCATGAAACTTTTTTCATCATAAAGGTTGCTGATATCCATTTAGGTTTAATGACTAATTTCATGTTTGGTGCAAATTGGCATCTTATTAACAGAAAAGTATCAATAATTTTAACTAAAAGAAGCATCATACGACAACTAGGCCGAAAATAACACAAATGAAAAGTGTAAATACAATTAAAATTCATGCATGATTTTATATTACCAAAAAAGTTGTTACATGCTGCACAACTTCAAATACAATACTATTCACTACTGTTGCTTTGGTACCTTCTGATTATCTGCAGCTCCTACCAAAAAAGTCATGAATTGGGAAGCAAAGAGCATTTGCAAATTCACTGGTGACTAATTTTTCACCAAACTTATGAATGAAAGACAACAGCCATTTTCAAAATGGTGAAATCAATTCCATACAAGAGTAATCAATCAATAAAGTTAAAAAAGCATGTAACATTGCATCGGTAATACAACACTTTTTCAAGAAATCCTCCTTTTCTGTGCTTTTGTTTTCCAGATGTACACTGCTCAAAAAAAAAGGGGGGGACAGTGCTATATCTCCCGTTCTACTGGGCCGATTGACAAAATTCAAACTGCGTTTTTCATGTCTCGAAAGCGTGACTTAGGATATATATTAGATTTATATATAGCACTATTCTAACATAGGTATTTTGACACAAAATCGGACTTTTTCTAAAATAACATAGCAATTTTTTTCCATATTTCGATTCTACGACTCAAATTATGCCAGAATGCCAAGTTTTATGAAAATCGCATGAGTAGTTTTTCAAATATTAGCTCTCAAACGTTTAGCTCCTCAATGTTAATTGAATTTGGCAAATATTTATTAATATCTCTCTTTTTATTAAACTCTTTTTATTTTTCCTTTCACATTTCAAAATTTAGGTTCATTCCAAATAAAATTTTCATTTTTTGGGGTTTTATTTTTTTAATTTCTATTTTTAAATAATTTTTATAAATTTTTCGAAAAAAATTTTGAATTATAACCTATAAAATTTTTACCATCATCTTAAAGTAGGTGTATTTCTAAGCCTACCAGGAAAAAATTAGACATTTTTATTCAAAATTTTCTAAGATATACACGAATCTACATATTTTCAAGTTTTGAAATTTGGCATCTTTCTTTTGAGCAATAATAATGCCAAATGTGGTTTATGGATTTTTATTACAGTGAATTGCCACAGCTATTTTTAACCTGAAATTTCAAATAAAATTTTATGGAGAATTAGTAATACAAAATTTTTTCCGTCAATGATGCATAATAAATATTTATTAATACTATATGAAAAGCTATTTTTTTTTAATTATAAGTTATATTATTCAAATTTTTAACTATTTTTTTTTTAATTTCTCTCTTTCTTCCCTTTTAAAAAAAAAAAATTTCTATATTTCTAAGAGTAAACTTTTATCTTCGGCGTTTTATCGTCTGCTACTTTACTTTAACTTCGTTTAAATAGAATTGTCTAAAACTGAGAACTTTCGTTCGATGTTTATTTGAATTTTATGAAAATATTTTATGACATTTACTGCATAATTTATTTCTAAACAAGCTGTTGCTTATGAAGTGGCTGATACTATCATCCATACTTTTAAAGCACAGTATATTTTTATAGGAACATAAGATTTAGAATAATCATTTTAATGAAAGTCAAATTATGATATAAACATACAACCCTCTAGAGACCGAATTAATGGTAGTTCAATGGTGATGTAGAAATGATTTGCAGCTACTTAATGGCTGGATAAGTCAGCAGGTTCTGTAGACAAGTAAGAATAATTATATAAACGACACCCAACATTCTGGATTCAATTAACAATGAGCGTAGGATGTTTATTAAATGAATTTAAGAACTTTTTAAACATAAATCAACTCATTTTTTATCCTAAAATGTATTTTTATGTGTAGCGTATTTTCTTTATATCCTTAAAATTCTAATTTAGAATGTAATTGTCAATAATTGAATTCTAATCATCAGTAATATAATAAGTAATTATTATGGTTATTAAAAATACTTCTTATAAAGTAATTGCAAATATTTCAAAAAACTTTCTGTCTGAATGCAAATATTTCTAATTTTATATTAATCAAGATTGCACACGATATTATTTATTTGCACTTCAATTCTTACCGTCAGCTCTAGTAGAAGTTACAAATCAATTATATTTAATTAATGAGAGGCTTGAATTAAATTTCCAATTTAATATTTTATTTGCAAATATTAAAGATATTGTTGTATTCTTAGATACAGAAAGCACAATTTAAATTTTATTAACTCGTTAGTAAACCACCAAGCAGTAGTCCAAATGAATATTCAATTTCTTTTGCAATAATTGTATTCACTTAATATTCTTGGAATATGAGCTAAAGAAGGAATGTTCTCGGAAGATTAAAGAAGTGTTTAAATCCAATGATATTAGGTTTGTCTTACAAGCTCAAAATCAAAATGATTCTGCAATTGCCCGAGCAGTTGACTTGAAAATGGCTGTGAATTAAGCAGACGACTTTTAATCTTACATTATTCAGTCAGAAAAGGTATTCCAAATGTTTTGTATTGCATGACAATGTATCTTTTCATTATTCAATAACCAATCGGAGAACCGCTTGTATTCTGAAAATAAGTATGTGTACTCAATCGTCCTGCACGTTTTACAAATTTGTCTTCTTGTGATTTTTTTTCTTTCCCAAAAACTAAAGTTGCCTCTCAAAGGAAAGTTTTTGACATTGAAGAGACAAAAGGCATATGACATCTACTTTTAGAGGCATGTCAAAAACATATCTCTACAAGCCTTCTCTTCCATTACATGTTGTGCATTCAGACAAAAATTTAGATCGGCATAATTTTTTATAATGTAATTTTATGACACTTTGATTACTTTATTAACATATAGTGGATATATACTAAACCTTTTACTTCAGCTTCAGTAATTCGGAATTTTTGACGGAATTGTTGTCGGAACTAGGACTTATAAGATACTTAAAATTGAATATTTCGATAATCCAATAAATTAAAGGTCGAAGTTCCAATATTTTATTTTCGGAAGGAGTGGAAAATGTTTCAGTTTTGGTCCATCATCCTAATCATATTTGCTTCATTTCTTTCTTTTTTCCATAAAAGTGAAAATCTTACGCATGGTATACACATCACACATAGCTTCAAATTAAAATTTAATAATATACAAGGTGGTTATAATTAAAGTTCCACTTTGAAATGGTCATAAAAGGAAAACTACTGGATCAAATGTTATCAAACTTGGAAACCATGTAAAGGAGGTCATGGGAACTTACTTTCCGCAAAAATAAGAAAGTTCAAAACCTCACCACCAGGAGGGAAATGGCACTGTATGCAATATTGTTAAACGAAATATGGGTCGGAATCTAACTTAACCTTTTGTTACACAGGTTTAATATGTTGTATACCCTTAAGAAATTTTGAAGTAAGCAAATTACTATTTAAAGGCATTAAATTCGATAAAAGTCAAGTGCGCAATCCGTGTAAGTGAGAAATTCATCCGTGAAAACCGCGAGTTAGCAATTAGAAAATGTGAGATCGCAAATCACTCGCACGAGTGCGTACAATCTGGAAGTCGTTTTCTTACAGATCGCTGACTTGTAATTTTTTAAGCCTGAATTCGGCCCTAAAACATGAAGATACTGATTTAAAACGTTTTAAATCGATCTGGGCCAAAGAAATCCCTCATGTTATCTACCTAGTTCCATTGCATTCTCCTATTGCATTCGATTACATAGCAGTCATTCCACACCAAACGGTGTGGAATGACAGCTATCGATAGTTTCATAACTGAACCATTCTTCTCTGAAAAGCAGTCGACAGCTGGACCACTTTGATTGAAGTTCGCTTGGAGCCAATGTTAAAATGTTTTGTGATACATGAACTGCAGTAACGTGGCATTTTAGATACTATGATTTCTATGCAGGGCTGGGCCCCACCTCACATGTGTCGCACAGTTACTTAGGCAACATTTCACGAATGAACGGCTTATAGGCCAACACATCTCCTCTTTCCCCCAGACCTCTATCTCTGTGACTTTTGGCTATGGGGTTATCTCAAAAGCACTGTTTATGGTGATAATCTAAACAATTT